TGCCATCATCTGAAAATAAAATCTTTACACTGCAGATTCTTATTTTGAGTTTATATTATGAGAGCCAGCACAAATGCCTTACGTAAATAATGGATTGATGTTTAAGTTAACTGGACCCAAGAGAACCTATGTGTCAAAACAGAGCTGCTTATTCAGTCCTTGCTTTCCATCAGCTTCTCTGAACCTACTATTGCTGTGCTGAAGAAGTGTACAACATATTAGTTTCTCAAAAGGAGTTCAGATAAATGTCAACTGCAGTAAGCGAAAATTGTAATTACAGTTAGTGTGGATTGAGCGAAGTGCTGTGTGGGCAAAGCCCTGTGTAAAGTTCTGTATGTAAATAGCACATCGAGGATAAGACCTTGCTCTGTGATTATTAAGAACAGGGTGTCTTTTGCACATTCTCCATTAGAAGGTTGATTAGAATCACTTGCAAATTATATAAGTCTACCTCTGGGCATGCTTCCCTTCAAAGAGGGAAACCCCAGGAGCTTTTTGTGTAAAGGATAGATTTCCAAATATCTTTGAATATGGAAGTTTTTGAAGCTTCCTTTCTTGATTGTCTTTTTCCCACTGATGCCAAGTGTGGAGTCTTTTACCCATTCTTTTAGATGCCACTTGCTTGTAAAATTTAACTGTGCCTTAGCTCACCGTCTGCACGGGGTGCATCTTTTTACAGCCCCTCCTTATTGATCTCCATTTTCTCTCTGCTGTATTCCTCACAAGCTCCTTGTGATTCAAGGTTGCAATCTGATTTTCATCTACTCAGATTAAATTTAATCTTGAAGATAGAGTATAGGACTGGAATGAGGATCTGTGACTACGGGTGGCTTTATTTTCTTCTTTTGGCACTTGCTTATTTTCTGTAATGAGCGTGGGTAGCTTATGATTAGCAAACATTAAATTTGATATTCTTAAAAACAGCAAAAACATTTTTAATGAAATGGCATGCTAATCTCATTAATTTCATTCTTTTGTGATGAAGTCTAATGATGAGATGAGGGTTGTAAACTAAGAGACCAGTGGTAATTTTTGGCACCCTTTCTTATTATCCTATTTATTTGACTTGGAGAGTTTTACATGTCTGTTTTTAGAGAGTATGTTAATTGAGTGCTCAGTATTCATTACGAATAATCTTGTCTGTTTTCTTGTGGAGATTGTGAAGGCCCTTTTGCTCTTTCTGCAAAAGCCAAGCAGACTGTATTAACTTCTGGTTTAATTTAAAAAACGAACGTGGAACTTGTTGGCACAACACCTTAAAGAATTGCATGTTTAATAATTGGAAGGCTTTCCATCAGATTTGTCTCCAGCCTGAATTAATAATGTTGCTGACTTATTGTTTTAGAAGACACAGTCCTTGACCTGCTAGGTTGAAAGAATTGTGACTGGTCTGAACCTTCGTGGGTCCTTTAGCTGTGCCATCTCCCCTGTGAATAATTAGAGGCGTTTGAAGGTATTGAGGTAGAAGCCAATTTGTGTCTTTCACTTTGCATATTGTTGAAGCCACATGAATTAATCATAAGCAGGGCAAAAAATTAACTTCTTCAGACACATATTTTGATGGGTCATGAGGGAGAATGTAAAGTGATCTGTAAAATATTCTACTGATCCTCTAAGTATTAAATTATTATACCTACAGGCTAATTTCAGGGGGGAAAGAGAGTTTTCCCTCCCCCTCCTTCAGTACCTGAATAGCATATTTGAAAAAAAAAAAAATCAAGGTTTGTTCTTTCCTAGCACTGTAAAGAGTAGTATAAATGAGCAGTTTTATGATTTTCTGCAAACCAGATTCTTATGTTAACTCTTGATTTTAATTTTTGGGTTTTTAAAATTTATTTTTAAATTGTTTGAGTCTTCGATTCTTAAAACTTCACCTGAAACTTGTTGTTGATTTGGTAAAATGCATTGTGCACCTGAAACTTCTTGTTGATTTGGTAAAATGCATTGTGCAACCCAACAAATAACTCATCTTTTTCACTTTAGGCATCTGAAGCTATTCTAAGACACCGAATCAAAGTAATATGGATTTCCATACTTGTTTAAAATTTAGATTTACATTAAAATCTTTTTTCCATTTTGTTTTTTTCAGCCAGTGAAACCGAAATTGCATTTTTCTGTGAAGAAGATTATAAGAACTATAAAGCTAATCCCATTTCATCCTGGTGAAAACATCTCGGGGGCTTCCTTTTTGCATACCTGTATTAAGCTCTTATTCCACTGCTGAGTTTTGAAATTGACAAACAAATCTTAAAAAATTAATCCCAGGCTCTACTCTCTGAGCTAAAATCTGTGATTTCTTTCTCTCCAGGTCTTTCTTTCCTTCTCTCTTTCTTTTTCTTTCTTATTATAAAATGATATGAGAAAAACATTAGATTTTCTGAAAGTGAAATAAATTGTTATTAAAAATTATCATGGAATATTTATTCTTAAATCATAGTTTGTTTTCTTAAATTATAAATCATTTTGGTGACTTGCATGTTGGGTTCCTTAAAAAGATTGTATGACTAGTCATACTGTTTATTTTGTATTTTATCTGTAGTTTCTAATTAGAGCAACTGTTACTGTCTGTGGCTACCAGAAATTCTGAGTTTCTTAGTACCCTCATGGCTACCTTGTAGCTTAGGGTGTGTGATACATATCACCATATGTGGAATTGAATCATGTATGTTTTAGAAAGGTTTTATGATGTAAGAAGGTTAAAAAAAAAAAAAAAGGATTGCAGTCCATACATATAATGTTGCTGATTTTTTTTCTTTTCTTTCTTGAGCTGTGTTTTCCATCTTCAGGAGCAAACTATCACAGAACATTTTCTGGAAGACATGTCCTGGAAGATACATTCCTTCTAAATAGTATAATACTTGTGGTTCCTGATCATGGCTGACCACTAGCACCTGAGGAGTCATTATGTCAGTTAGCTTGCGTTTAATCAGAACTCCTGCAGAGCTTACCCAGCCCACCACTGTGCCCTGGCCCTGCGAACGCTCCGTGGGTTCTAGAGAGTTTAGCCGGCTCTGCCATTGCTCCTTGAGTCCTCAGAGTTGCCGGGAGGGCAAATTGGTTTCATTATGGTCACATCTAACTTAAGTAAACCTATTATTTTTTAAAAAATCAACTTTGAAAGTCTGATTAACATGATTAGAAGATGCTTTGCTTTGTTGAAAAAGTTAATAGAGTCTTTAAAACAGAAATTCTGTTTTATTGATTGTTTCATTGATGAAGAAAGTGTTAATACACATGTGACATAGCTCTTTGGGGAGTTAATAAAGAAGAAGAAAAGACCCAGTTTTTGCCTTTGTGAATGGGGAAAGACATAAGTACAAGCAAGTGATTTTAACAATAGCAGAAAAAGCTGCCATGGGAGCATTGTTGACATAAATTAGTCCTGGGGTTTTTTTTGTTTTTTTTTTTTTTGTTTTGTTTTTGTTTTTTATGAAGTACCAGTAGAGCTGTGTCTTAGAAGATTGAATAGGAATTTTTGCTTAGAAGAAAAGACGGGAAAGGCTTTCTGGAAGACGGAATTGCATACACAAAGGCAAAGCACTGTGTATGAGCTTGAAGTTTCAGGAGAAAGCACAAGACTTCCATAGATGGTGCAACTTAATGATTTTTCGACCTTACAGTGGTACAAAGCAGTATGCATTCAGTAGAAACTGTACATTGAGTACTCATACAGCCATTATGTTTTCCACTTTGAGTGCAGTATTCAATAAATCACATGACTAATACTTTATAATAGGCTTTGTCATAGATGATTTTGCCCAACTAACTCTAGGCTAATATAAATGTTCTGAACATATATAAGGTAGATTAAGCTAAGCTGTGATGTTTGGTAAGTTATGTGTATTAAATGCATTTTTGACTTATGATATTTTCAACCCACAATGAGTTTATTGGGACTAACTCCACTGTAAGTTGAGGAGCATCTATACAGGACTGTGAAGTACACGGAACAGAGTAGAGGAAGAGGAGGCCAGAAAGGTAGGTTGATGTAGCCCTCACAAGTCATGCTAAGGAGTTGGAACTGTATCTAGTAAGTAGATGCGAGCCAGTAGCATGATTTAAAGAGGGATTTGATTCCATTTGCATTTTAGAAAGTGAGCTTTGTCAGCAATGTCCAGATGGCAGAAAGACTAGTTGACATCATTGAGCAGGTGAAGTTTGGAAGAGGCTTGGCCCAGGGCAGGGGCAGAGGGGAAGAAGAGGAGTGGAAAGGTTCTTGGTGTTACCATTTGATCATGCATTCTGTGACAAATATGGTGTGGTAGTTAATTTACGTATGTTATCTCATTTGACTTTTACCACAGTTCTTCAATGGGAGCATGTATATTTATAGATGAGGAAATTGGGGCCCAGAGAGGTAAAGTTATTTGCTCAAGAGAATGCAGTAATGTCCAGTGGGATTGGAACCAAGTCTGTCTTAAAATCCTGACTTCCCCCATTCCATCCTGCAGCCTCCCAGCAGAGACCTGAGTAGAATGACCTTAGAATGTTTGGGACCTGGTGAATGCTTGGACGGGGACAGTGTGGGGACGGAGGAATGGAGCCTTCAGTGATTCTTGCTGGGGTTGAGTGGCTGGATTGATGATGACAGCAGTAACCCAAATAGGGAACTCGATAAGTAGAGGTTAAAACTATTCCATTTGTTTACTTTACACACATTCAGTTTGCATGCCAGGCTTTTTCAAAATATAAAATTAAGTGTATCTTTACCTGTGCATTTTTAAGTAGATAATGCAAAAATACATATGTGTACTACCTTTTTTGGTGTGTATTTTCCTTATTATAAAAGGTACATATAGGCTATTTTCACTTACATGCACAGTTGTAAAAATCAAAAATAAACTTACAGACAGCAGCCACCAGAAACTAGAAGAGGCAAAGAAGGATTGTTCCCTAAAGCCTGCAGAGGGAGCAGGGCCCTGCTGACACCTGGATTTCAGACTTGTAGCCTCCAGAATATGAGAAAATACATTTCTGTTGTTTTTACAATAAGTATAAATATATTGTGTGATTAAAAGGACTATTCGCAGGAATGCAAGATTGATTCAAAATTAGAAAACCTATCAATATAATTTTCAAAATCTATAAAGGAGAAAAAAAATTATGCTTCATAGATGCCAAAAGGCATTTGATGATATTCTTGTCCGTGCATATGTAAAAGTTAGCAAGGGAAAGAAATACCCTTAATTTGATGAAGGTTGCTCATAGAAAACCTACTTAATGGAGAAGTGTTTCGGCAAATCTAAATGAGTAAGAGGCTGCGCCTGGGTGTGGTGGCTAAGGCCTGTAATCTCAGCACTTTGGGAGGCTGAGGCAGGCAGATTGCTTGAGCTCAGGAGTTCGAGACCAGCTTGGGCAATAGGACGAAACCCTGTCTCTACAAAAAATTAGCCAGGTGTGGTAACTTGTGCCTGGAGTTCCAGTTACTCAGAGGCAGAGGTGGGAGGATCCCTGGGATCTAGGAGGTCAGGGCTGCAGTGAGCTGTGATCACACCACTGCAGTCCAGCACAAAAATGAATTAGGCAAGAATGAACACTATTGCCATTACTGTTCAGTGTATTTCTGCAAGTCTTATTGTAGCCAACACAGTAGGAAGAGGAATGAGTCTCAGATACTGGAAAGGAGTAGACAAAACATTCATTTGTAGACTATATGATTGCAAGAGAATTAAGTTTTTTGAACTAAGAGACTTGAGTGCTGAACCTATAATGTCTTGTTCACAAAAGCTGTAAAATACTGTTATTAGATGAGTATAAAAGACCTAAATAGAGATAAATTACATGTTTATAGCTGGAAGATACCTACCTAATCTATAAGTAAATGCAATCTCAATCAAAATCCCAAAGGATTTATCATGGAACTTGACAAATTGATTTTTAAATTCATTTGGAAGAATAAATGTGCAAGAATAGCCAAGATCAATTGGGAAAAACAAAAGACAGGGTAGAGGGAAGGGTGGTTGCTTACCAAATGTCAAAATACATTTAGTGATCAAGCTGGTAATGATACAGAAGTAGATAAGATGATCAATGGGATAGACTATAGAAACGGATAAAATTTACATGGAAACAATATCTAATGAAGGTAGTATTTGTAATTTTGAGGAAAAGAAAGATTATTTAGTGTGTGGCCAGGTATTTAAAAAGAAAATGGTTAAGGGTCCTGCTTGATACCATTCACTAAAATTTCAGATGGATTAAATAAACATGAAAAACAAGATAATGAGTTTATTAGAAGAAAAATTGGATTATATTTGTGACCTTGGAGTAGAGAAGGCCTTCTTAAAACACAAAAGGCACATGCCATAATTTTATAAGGAGAATGTAAGTGTGTTAGAAATGACTAAAAGCAAGCCAGGTGTGTGATGCATGCCTGTAGTCCCAGCTACTCAAGAGGCTGAGGCGGGGGGATCGCTTGAGCCTCGGGGTTTGACACCAGCCTGGGCAACGTGGTGAGACCCTGTCTCTTTAAAGAAAATGAATTAGTAAAAACAAAGCCAAAACATGTATAGAAATCAAAAGCAGAAAAAAAAAAAAAACCCATCAGGCAATTGCCATGAACATTTTGACATATTCCATCTAGGTTATTTTTTCTATGTATTTTTTTTAGTGTTTCTGATCTTTTTTAATGTGATTTAAGTCACATTTGCTTGTTTAAACAACCAATTCTAGTCCGGGTATGGTGGCTGACGTCTGTAATCCCAGCACTTTGGGAGGCCAAGGCCAGTGGATCACTTGAGCTCACAAGTTTGAGTCCAGCCTGGGCAACATGGTGAAACCCCATCTCACACAGTTTAGCTGGGCATGGTATTGCATTCCTGTAGTCCCAGCTACTTAGGAGGCTGAGGTGGGAAGATGGTTTGAGCCCAGGAGGCAGAGGTTGCAGTGAGCTGAGTGCACACAACTGCACTCCAGCCTGGGCGATAGAGCCAGACCTTGTCTCAAAACAACACCAACAACAAAAAATCCTGAAGGTTAAAAACAGTAAAAATCCTCTTCTTGCAAGGTCACTCCTTTGCACAGCGTGGTGAGCATACTTCCAGATTTTTTTTTCACGTATGTTATTTAAACATACAAGGGATGTATTTTAAAGGCATTGTCGTGGTATGCGTTTCAAAGCATGATCACTCTCAAGGTTGAGAAGTCTCTTTTTTTTTTTCAGTCACCATGTGTCAGACACTGTATGTATTTTATATTATCTCATTTAATCCGCACAGTTGACTTTGATAGAGCTCTGATGAGTCCTGGTTTCTCCATCTGTGAGACGGACGAGAAAATAAGGGCCACTTTGCAGACTTTTGAGATCAAGTGGGACATTGCCTACAAGGCACTTACGGACAGAGCCTGGCAGGAAGTGAGCGCTCGTTACGTGTCTTAGGGTGTTTACAGTGAGTGCGGCAGCAGCAGCTTCATTTGAGCAAGAAACCCTCACCCTCAGGGAGTAAGCCACTTGCCCAAGGCCTAAAATCTGATGAGTCAAAGAGCAAGTCTCTTCTGGCTTCCAATTCTACCTTCTGCCACTCTGAAAACAAAGGGTGTCAGGCACTTGGAGAAACGTGGTAGAAAGGTGGTCCCACACGGCCAAGAGACAGTTCCCCATCTGCGTTGTGGACGCCCCTTTACATGCATTTTTCTGTTTCTCGTTGAAGAGAACTTGCTGGTGCCAAAAGAATACATGGGCCATGGCCCCACGAGTTGGGCCAGGTTTCATGTGACTTTGAGGAACTTCTTTGCCATAGCGAACTAGTTTTCTTTTCCTTCTTTTTCTACCTGCTCTAGACACAGGCAGGAGAGATGGTGATGTTCCTGCCTATTTGGATACCCAGAGAACTGGCCAGACCTGGGCCCCTTTGGAAACATGCTGCTGATTGCTATGGACAAAAGGGAAAAGCAGGGCTTCTCCATTTCTGCTGATGCAGAAGGGGACATTGTGGGCCCGAGTGTCCAAGGATCCGTACTTGGACCCCTCTGCCCACTAGAGAAGTGGCCCAGCAATCTTACCATCCTTTTCTCACTGTACCTGTATGCATGTGTACACGTACAAAGGCATGTGTGTTGGGAGAAGGGCTCTGAGTATCGTTTCTGGGCAGTTTCACCGCATTTTACTTTCAGAAGCTCTCATGACTGCTCAGAGTAGCAAAGGCAATTGAAGTGGAATATTGACTTAATTGGTCCGAGGTTAATATTTTGAACTCCACCATCACGACAGCGGGCCTTGCTGTCTGCAGGCCTGGAAAGAACCCATCTCTCACGTGGAGCCACAGCGTGCATCCCGTGGCCACTCTGTTCCTTTCACGGCACCTCCAGCATTTATACCTGTGGAAGAGGAAGGCATGGCGGCATTTGTCATTTTTTTCCATCAAAGGAGACACATTTATTCAATGAATCAGACCTGAGACTACTTTCCCCATCCCCAAATGTGCATTTTCAGCTAGAACATGAACATAAGAGTTTTGATAATGGTCTTTGGAGATTCATTTTTTGGTCATTATCCAGCGAGAGGGTCATGTAGTTGTAATGACTTAAAGGAAACACGCAGGATGTGTGTCATCCTGCTCAGCGATGTGGTTTGTTAGGGAGCAGTGACCCTCCTCTCTTCCGTGCTGCTGCCACTTTGGATGAGTGTTCAGTAAATAATGTCATTTGCAGGCTGCGAGATTTAAGATAGAGAAAATCCATTTCAGGTCCCAGATGAAGTCATGTGACTCTGGAAAGAAGTCAGGGCAGACTGTTTTGGGAATGCTGCCTTAGACTCAAGCTTTAGGTTTTAACTTCATTGCTATTACATCCAATACACGAGAAAAAAACTGCCATTCATAATGATACTCTTGTGATCAATCAAATCTGGTCAATCAAAGCAGTGACCAGAGCACTCTTAAGTCTGCTGCTCCTTCACTGGACTAAGTCAAGTAAGTAGAAGGGAGGGAGGGTGGCGAGGACTTCCTCATCGCTGACTTGGTGGGAAATGACAGCGGTAGGATCGGGAGCTGTCATCTTCAGTCCACTCGGTGCTAATTCCATTTAGCAAAGCACAACGACCTCATTTAATTTCCTGATCACTGTCCCTTCCTCCTCCCTCCGTCCTGTGACTTTGAGCCTTATGCCATCGGACTATACACGATCGCTGTCCCCCAACCCTGTTGCAGACACCTGCAGGCCCTGTGCTGCTCTCCCTTATTATTTGATGGTTTTAGCTCCTGGCTCACTGCTGCTGTCTCTTGTAATTCAGGATAGACATAGACAAGCCTTCCCGTACCCTGGGGCCTCTTAGGTAGGTCATTGATGAACTCACTGCAACCTTCTTGTCTTCTGTCTCAGCCACCTACTCCTAGCAGCACACCTTAGCTGTAGTCATTAAAACTGCACCTGAGTCCACAACGCCACCTCAATATATACCTCCCGTTCTCTGACCCCTGTCTCCTGTCTTTCCATTTCTCTGCCTCTGCTGCCCCCTCCAAGGTTCTTCAGCCCCCACCTGAACTACACTTCATCAATCCTGCTGTCTTCTCACTGTCCCACCCCCTGGCTTGAGATCCTCTGTGCCTTCTCATTCCTCCGCCTAGACCCTTGCTTCCCTGACCCCTCTGGCCCAGGCCCAACCCTGCTGCACTCCGCCTTCTCCACCTGCACTCGAGCAGCTGCGCTGCGGGTGCTGGGGTGGAGAGCACGTGCTGACTGGCCACGCTGTCGGTCACGGCTGCTAAGCTGCAGTCAGGTCCTCACGCTGCCCTGCAGTTCCGCTCGCTCTCCAGTTTCCTTTAGGTCCTCGACGCAGAGACCCCTCTTCTCACTCCCAGCAGCTGTCCTCACTTCAGGCTGTCCTAGACAACATGTTCCGGCTCCTGGCCGTGTCCCCCACCTGCCTTCCGGTGTGGGTGGGCGAGTGAGTAGTGCTCGATTCTAAGTCTGTCCTCCCGTAAGCCCGGGCCCCTCACCTCTGGACACCGACGAGCACACTTCAGCATTGTCCTCCCTCTTCCACGCCATCAAGTTCCGCACCCACCAGCATAGGGGCGGCTCTCCCATCCACTCTCCCACAAGAACCACCCATCTTCCCTTCACAGCCAGATTCCTGCAGTACACCCTCTTTCCTCCGTCAGGGCTTCCGTCCAGCACTCTGCTGAGACAGCTCTTGCCAAAGACACCCAAGGTCCCCATTGCCACAGGAATAGGATTCTCTGTCTTGGAATTGCTTCGCCTCTCAGCAGCCTTGGACACACACCATCAACGGACACCCTTCTTGCCAACAGTTGCTTCTCTTGGCTTCACTGGCCACTCCTCCCCATCTTATTTGCTGGTTCTTCCTCATCCCTTAACCTTTGCAATGTGGAAGGTCCCAGGCTCAGTCCTCTGACTTCTCTAATTATATCTTCTCCCTAGCCGACCTCGTGCGCGCTTCCAGCTTTAAATAACAACTCAATGCTGCAGACTCCAGATCTCAGTCCACAGCCCAGCTCCCCACTAGAGTCCCTGCTGGGTGCTCCCCATCACCGGGGAGGTGGCTGATAGGCATCCTCTGACAAAGGGCTCAGACGTTAACACACCCCAGCTGAGCCTCTGAGCTTTCTTCCTGAGCTTGGGCCATCTCAGTCTTCTCCACCGAAGGACATGAACTCCAGTCCTCCATTTGTTCAGGCCAGAAACCTTGGAGACATATCTCTTTTTCATTTTACCGCCACACCCAGGCCATCAGCCAGCTCTGTTTGCTCCACCTTCAGAGTATATGAAGGGGCCAGGCTCCTCTCACCTTTTTCACTGCTACCACTGGGTCCAACGTACGGCCATCTTACCTGGATTACTGCAGTCACCTTTTTAACTGAGCTGCTTGCTCTCACTCCTACCCCACTACAATCCTTCCTGTTCTGATTCCGGCCTCACTGCAATTCTCTACCCAGCCATCACAGTGATTCTTCTAGAACGTGAGTCAGATCTTGTCATGCCTTAGCTCAGAACCCTTATTCAGAGAAAGAGCCTTGGCCCTGGGCCTCTTAGTGCACACTAGATATATGCACGCCCCAGGGCCAGCTGGTAAACATCCGCATGCCCCAGGGCCTTTGCACATGCTCTTCCCATTGCTCGCAATGACTTTTCTACATTTATTTGCATGGTTCTCTTCCTTTCTGTCAGATGTCTGCCCAAATACCATCAAAGAGACCTTCTCTGCCTATCCTATGTAAAATAGCAAATGCTTGCCCTTGCAAAACTCATTTGTCTGTTTTACTTTAAAAAAAAATCTTTTTCTGTTCTGTCTTCTGTTATTAGCATGTACCCAGTGTATAGAACAGTGGCTAGCAGTTCATAGGCCAGCATGGATGTTTCTGGGATGAGTGAATGACTTGAAGATTGTATTTGTTTGTTTGTTTTGCTTTGTTTTGAGCTGGAGTCTCACTGTGTCACCCAGGCTGGAGTTAGCACAACCTCAGCCCACTGCAACCTCCACCTCCTGGGTTCAAGCGATTCTCCTGCCTTAGCCTCCCAAGTAGCTGGGATTACAAGTGCGTGCCACCACACCTGGCTAAGTTTTACTGGAGGCGGAGTTTCACTATGTGGGCCAGGCTGGTCTTGAACTCCTGACTTCAGGTGATCTGCCTACCTTGGCCTCCCAAAGTGCTGGGATTACAGACATTAGCCACCATGCCTGGCCTAAGATTGTATTTCAATTTTAAAGCAAAACTTTACAGATTTTTGAAGCTCATCTCAGCAGTGTAGTAATAGATCTGTGTAGATTGAGTACACTCTCTAGGTGTTTCTTTGGTTGAAATTAGTCATCCAGATGTGTAAAGTGGGGTAGATGTCTGCTCAAATGCCATCAAAGCTGCCTTCTCTGCTTATCCTATATAAAATAGCAGATGCTTCGGAATAATTGGTCGGCAGTCCCGAGTGCATGTGTGTTTCAAATGGAGCTGAGGAAATGAGAGGAAAGCCTCAGTTGAAAGTTAGTTCGTTTTTGTAAGTCTGACTCTGGTCACTGCATTTTCATGCGGCTGACAGTTCTTTTCTGCCACGCGGCGGCTGCGTATGCCCGCAGGCAGTCCTGAGCCTCCTGTGAGGGCTTTTTTACCAGCTGGAGGAAAAAAAAAAAAAAAAAAAAAAAAAAAGCCGGGTGTGGTGGCTTATGCCTACAATCACAGCACTTTGGGAGTTTGAGGCAGATGGATCACCAGCTGGAGGAAAAAAAAAAAAAAACCAAAACCCAGACGCTGTGGTGGTTAGTCATAATAAGCAAGGTAAGTGCCCTAGATTGTCACTTGTTTCTGTTTGAACTGTTCCCTGGAAAACTGAGAACCCTGAACAGTGGATTGTACAACTGTGCAAATTAAGGCAGAATTTTTTTTCCCACTTGCCTTAAAGCAAAGTTGCTTGTTTTAAAAGTGACCTAGAAGTGAACTTGTGGTGACATTTAAAATTATACAAATTGGAAAAGGCAAGTGGTGCACTTTTGCATGTATTGGAATTATTTGTCTTTCTGTGTTTGCTCTAGGCAAGCGTGAGGGGGAGAAGAGAGCTCAGCTTTGACGTCAGGCAGCCCTGAGTTGGAAGGACACAGGCACTGTTGCCTGCTTGGAGGTGTGACCTTGGGCCAGCTGCTTGGCCTCTTCAGGTCTCAGTTTCTGGCTCTGTTAAATGGGGATGATAATACTGACCTTCCAGAATTTCTCCGTGGTTTTGGTAAGGTGACCTAGCTCGGTGCCTGCATAAACATATTCTGTTTTGGGGAATAATTTCTGCCACACTGCTATTTTACAGAGAAAGACTATTAATCCCATCTTGCAGAGAACATTTAGACATTGAATAGGAGGTTGTCTCCCATAAGCGCTGGGCAGCAGAGCCAGGCCTCTTCCTACAAGGCAGAGGTGTCCAGCTGCCACCAGTTCCCCCCACCTGTCAGCTCCGACCACACTCACCCAGTAGTGTTCTTGGACCCAGGGAAGGACTCATTTTTCATTTTCCAGGAACCCTTCTCTTCCCATTTCCTTTCCCAAGGAGCCTTGCCCTTGGATTCAGCTAGACTTGAGCACATTACCTCTCACATGTTTCCTTACGTGTCCCCTTCTCATTGGAATGTCCCTCAGTTTGGACTAATGGGCTCATTAACAACAGCCAGCAATTTAAATTTCCTTTCTGTAAGAATAAAGCTGTCCCTTTCCCTATTCTCTGGCTGTAACTTGCTTAAAGTGGGATGGGATGGAGTGGGATGGTAGAAGGAATGGATACGGAGGCTGTCCAAGGAAGTATCTCAGGGAAGAAAAATCTTACAAAGGCAAGTTTTGTAGTTTGAATTTTCTAGATACCTGAAAGGAACCAGCCCATTAACACCCAGCCGTTCATCTTTACATCTTGCCGAGCAGCTCCTCCTCTGGTAGGACACCTTTCCGCCGTTTTAGCAGATTCTCATTACACAGAGTCAGGCTGCCTTGTCCTGGACTTCTCTGTGTAATGAGAATCTGCTAAAATTGGCTCTACACTTGTCTGCCTTTGCCTACCCTCAGCCACCAGGTGGCAGCAGAGTCCGTCTGGGACTGGGAACTGATGAGGCCGAGCCGGTGTCAGTCATTTGTTAAGGACCGTGTTCAGTAGGTTTGTCCCCCTGTAAGTCAGCCTTGGCGTCCGATAGCTGAAAGTCAAAGCCATCAGCTTGTTAGATGGGGTGGCATGTTGTACTAGTGCCCCAAAGCGATCATGCAATTGCTACTGCCTAAAATTTTATTTTATTTATTGTTATTCTTTTTTTTCAGGCGGAGTCGCACTCTGTTGCCCAGGCTGAAGTGCAGTGGCGGGATCTCAGCTCACCACAACCTCCGCCTCCCAGGTTCAAGCAATTCTTTTGTCTCAGCCTCCAGAATAGCTAGGATTACAGGCGAGCCTCACCACGTCAGGCTAATTTTTGTGTGTTTAGTAGAGATGGGGTTTTGCCATGTTGGCGGGGTTGGTCTTGAACTCCTGACCTCAGGTGATCCACCCGCCTTGGCCTCCCAAAGTGCTGGGATTACAGATGTGAGCCACCACGCCCAGCCTAAAATGTAATTTTTCTTTTAAAAGCCAAAGCTTAATTATTTCAAAGCCAATACCTAACTTTAGTCCGTTTTACCTCTATAGTCTTATTTCCCTCTTTTTCTTTTATACCAGTCTATTTGATAATGGGCCATTTCTAAAAAGAATACCAATACTATGTCAATGTTTTGGAAAATGTCCCTGTTTATTTGTTGAGGATTCCTTAAAGCTGAGGGTTGAAAGGTGGCGAGCAGGTTTCTGTAGCTGCTTTATTAAAGGCTTCCTAGTGTAACAATTTATAGGCAGCCTCCTCCATTTGGCGCGGGTGCTTAAAAAACTCCTTCCCAAACCAATTGCAGGGAGACTCTCTTCTGCTTGGTGGAGGGGTGTGGATGCTGTCCTTTAGCTTGTGCAAATGTGAGCCTGTAAGCAGTGCCCAGAGCTTTGGGGTCAAAGGGTGACTCCATTGCAGGGGCACGGACGCAGGAATTACTTTGCAGAGGGGATGTCCCTCTTCCCTTCTGAAGACTGAATGTTCTCACACCTGATCAGGCAATGCCAGTAACTCTTTGGATAGTGTACAAAACCCTACGTTTGTTTCTAGGTTAGTTTAAAAGTGAAGAAATCTCACTTTAAGGCAGCAGACAGAATAAAGGCCAATCTGTCCTTGTGCAGAGCTGTGCCTCTGTGGGCTCTCTCTTCCTGGCTTAGCTGGGTGTGGCTGACAGCAGAGAACTCTTACTGGCAGAGGGCTGAGTCCGGGCTAACAAGTGGGGCCTGAGACAAGGTCTGAAGTGGCAGGGTTTCTTTGTAGCTCTGTGGACCACCTTGGTGTCTAATTCCAGTCCCCAGTCCTGTCAAAGTCACCCTACACTTTAATGCAGACACCACAGCTGGTAGATGCTTCCAGACTAGGATGCCGAGGAGACTTGGTTAATTGCGAGATGGAATGCAGAAGCTGAACACAGGAGAGGAGAATCATAAGAAGGCTGATTTAAAGCAGAGTACAGTATGTCCATACCTCTTGGCTCTGTGAGACCATCTGACCTGGTGCTCATTCTGCAGCCTTAAGGCCCCCGTGTTTGCTAGAAATGTGTTGGGCCCTGCCTGCAAAGGTCCTGATAACTGGTCTTCCTCGGCCTCCAAGTCAAAGGGACAGAGTAGTTTCTGGAGCCAGCAATTCTCTCTGCATCCTCTCTTCCTCTCTTTCCAAGGTGTTGGGTTTTTCAGTGTCTTGGCCCAGGGTTACTTGTACAGTTGAAAGCAGAGCAGCTTAAAGACAGATTACTTCTGTCTTCCCTGAAAGCCTTCGGGGATCAGGGAAATTTTGCTAGAACTAGGCTTGAGGTATAGGGAAGGGAGAGGAGGCTGGGGGCTGGAGTGACTCACTAAGGCTGGGGGGACGGAGCTTGCAGGTTCTACCATTGCCAGGTGTCTGGTTGTGGGGAGATGACTAGTCCTCAGAGAGGAATAGCTGACCTGCAGCAGGTGAGTGCTTCCTCTCCAGTCTCTGGCCTGAGCAAGGCCTACAGCTCCCAGGTTCTGAGGGTGAGCGTCCAGCTTCTGGAGGATGCTTCTTCCTGCCAGTGTCGGAGTTGGAGCTTTCTCTGCTCTGACAATTCCCCCCCTCCATCCACTTCTCACCTTTAAAACTTGGATCAACTCTCTTGTCCCCAGTGTCTTCTCCTTGGGTCTCTTTGTCTTCATGGGTTTTTGTTTGTATTATCCCCTTACTCCCGTCTTAGTGGGGTTTTCAGAGGAGGTGATGTAAATGAATAGATCAGCCTATCATGTTTAACTTTGGAAATCTGCTTGCGTGCTCTCTCCGTTTCTTTTTTAAAATTGAAGCATCGTTTACAGATGGTGAAATACAAAGATCTTAGACATACAGCTCTTTGGGTTTTGACAAATGCACGACCCACGTCTAAGTCAAGATGAAGAACACACCCACCCCCCGAACCTCCTTTGTGACATTGCGGTTCCCTCTCTGCCCCTCTGTCATCAGCCACCACTGCTGTGATTTCTGTCACCATAGGTGAATTTGGGCCTTCATTTTTGAATTTTTGAGGTATATGTATATGGTCCGAATCAGTCTCCCAACACAACTAACTAAATGCAGACCAACTCTAATATTATAAGAAATTGGAATTTAAGTACGAACAATGCCATTTTATTTAAAACGCACACTGTCGTGTCCAAATCTAACCTCTTCCTTCAGGAGTAAGGAGAGAAGCTGTGTTGTCTTCTAGGGTTTCCTTCATAACCAGAAGAACTTCATGTCAGTTAAAAACTTCTTCCGTGAAAAAAAAAAAAAAAAAAAAAACCTCAAGTAACAAGAAAGATCCTCAGTGCCTTTGAACAAACATCACATCTCTTCACAGATCTTCACTGAAGAATTCTCAAAAAAACAGAGGCTTCCCATCTTAAAAATGTGTATCTGGCATCTTATCAAAAAACATATTATTAGCACTCCTTTCAAATAACCCTCTGAAGTTGTCTGGTTGTGGGCGGAGGCCCTTGTGGTGGCGCTGTGGGAGCAGGTCTTGGGCTGTGCGCATGTGTGTACGTGGGAACCTGTGGCGGTGAGTCGTGAGGCCTGAGGTGTGGTAGTTGCCTGGTTTCTGGCTGGTGGTCACTTCCATTATTTAGATGTTGCATGAGTGACAGAAGCCATATTTCAAAATTTCAAGTGTTTTTCCAGCAAGGTCCAGCAAGCTGTGCAGGACAAGCCATCAGAAGTGAGACTGAACCAGACGTGGAACAGCCAGCATTTATCAAGTGCTTGCCCTGCCAGGCCTCACTAAGGCACTTTGCAGATATTTACTCACTACTGCTTGCAGCCCCTGTGAGGTGGGTACTAGTTATCTGCATCTTACTGATGGGGAACGGGCACTTGAAGGCAAAGTGACCTGCCCAAGGTTTCCCAGCTCCTAAGTGATGGAGCCTGCCAGAACCAACCATCAGAAGGGACTTTCCGGGTGAAGGGAGGTTCTTACGCTCACTGGGGATACTAGGAAGAAATTCCTAGTCGTAGCTGGGGCAAGTGATACCCTTCATGGCCTTTCAGTACTTGGTGAAGCCTCCTCAACAGGAGTCAGCTCAGAATTGCTGGAATGAACATCTCATGAGAACGCCCTCCCCTTCCCTTCCCACTGCCACTGCCACTGGGCCTCATCATTTCTCATCCTGACCGAGGAGACACTCTCCCGTCTGGTGTCCTTCCCTGCAGACTTTCATCCACCTAGGCCATCCTTCATGCTGCTGCCAGAGTGATCTTTCAAAAATGCAAGTCTGACTGCTGCATCCCTCCCTGTTCAGAACCATGGAACGGGTTGTTTCCTTCCACATCACGTGCATGCTCTGGCATGGTATAGTGGGGCTTCCTTGGTTTGCTCTCTGGCTACATCTCCAGCCTCTCCTCCAGCTTATGGAATTTAGCACCCCCGACCCCGTCTCCCCAGCTCTTCCCTTTCCCTTCCCCTTGTTCTCTCTGGGTACACCATGCTGCCACTTCCTCAGACTTCCCACTCTGGTCCCTGGATGCTCCACCAGCCTAGCGTTCATCTTGGGCGGCACAGTGAACGACCATCTTGCCCCTAAGATCCCAGCACTTCACAGCCAGAAGACTCGACCCTGCTGTCCTTCTTGTCCTGCCATGTCCTGGACAGTTCCCTGAAGCACTGATCACACACTGTGGCCTTGCTTTTTTATATACTGACCTTCTCAAAAGATGTGGCTCTCCCTGAGGTTGAAGATCAGGTCTTACTATTGCATCTCCACGGCCTGCACACATTGGGAGTTAATAAGTGCATGAGTCTGTTATTTATGTATGAATGAACGGATTCCCTTTCCTTGCTGTATCATATACTCTTCTAAAAGTTACCAGGCTTTCTGGAACTTATATTAAGAAATTCGGATGCCAGCAGTAATATCCAGGTAATGCAGCCTCTGCCCAAATTGCTTGAAGAGATGATTTTTGTCTCAGCACTAGGACCACAATTTCTGTTTCTTTCTCATTCTCTCCATGCCCTGACTCACTGTTGGATATACACGACCTGTTTCAAATGTGTGTGCTGATTTGAGTTGGCAGGTGTTGGGGGTGGGATAGGACAGACAGAGAAAATGTGGTCCCAGCTAATGAGGACCTGACACATGAAAA